GAGAGAGAGAGAGAGAGAGAGAGAGAGAGAGAGAGAGAGAGAGAGAGAGAGAGAGAGAGAGAGAGAGAGAGAGAGAGATCCCTCTTTGAACCAACGATTTCACTGAAGAAGGGGCACAATTCCTGACTGCATGTCATCCGCCTGCAGCATATTGCAGGCACATCACGCACATAATGCAAATCCATGTTGCACTTTCGTGCAAAAGCAAATTCATAGCAATCGCGTGGAAGATATCGAAAGTGTCCACTTACGGAGATCACAGGTTAAACTTGTCTGCAGTTGTGCGACCTGTGGGTGTCAAACAAGAAGGCCAACCTAAAAACCAAACTAGAAGGCAAGCTGGGGGTCACGATGAGCATCAGGCAAGCCCTCTACAGTCTACCCCCGAATACAACGCACGGTCATTATAGCTGAATTTAGACTGATATATGTACCGAATTCATCAATAATGACCATACGTTGTATTCGGTGGAAGACTGTAGGCAAGAACAATTCCCCAAAACGAAAAAGAATGGAAGAAAAAAGGAACAAAAAGAAAGAACTACATAGCCGCTGACAGAAACAACCAAAACGAAAAAGAATTGAAGAAAAAGGGAACAAAAAGAAAGAAAGAACTACATAGCCGCTGAAAGAAACAATCTTTTCCCAAAAAGAAAGAAAGAACTACATAGCCGCTGAAAGAAACAATCTTTTCCCATTCCCACGTTGATCAAGAATTCGTCCCAGCTAGTGATTTTTGCTTTGTCAAAGGGAAGAAAGCAAGGAAAATGTCGCGCATCAGAATTCCATGTTTTCACCATGACAGTGCTCACAATGGATGAGAAATTGTACATCGCTGACAGATCATAGCGAGCCATACAATGGCAATGCCCGGGTGACCGTTTCAGCGCAAGATTTACTCTGTTCAATGTTTTCCGCATCCAATGGGAGTGTTGGGATAACACTGTCCTTCATCCGTCCAGAACACACGTGTACGGAGCAAACATTAAATAATTGAAAACCAGAAAGTTAGCAGAAAACCCAAGCAAGTACACAGACATACCCATACCCGGCCATACGGAATAGGCGAAGGGACGGAGCAAACAAGGAACGGGTAAAAGGTCGACCCGGCATTCGAGTTGCGGAGTGTGGAGGGACCAACAAAGCACTTGCGAAGCTGGCAAATGAAGAAACACACACACAGACACACACACCCCACAGAGAGAGAGAGAGAGAGAGAGAGAGAGAGAGAGAGAGAGAGAGAGAGAGAGAGAGAGAGCACAGGATTCTCTTCCACAATCACACAGTCTGACACAAACGTGTTATGCAAATTTAATTGGCTATTTTTTTATCTGTTCAGGAGGGACGTGGTCATCAAATCGTCAAGGTCAGCAACACTGAATGGCCAGAGGCCGTCAACTATGCCACTGACCAGAGCTGCGGACGGCTGGAAGGGAGTCGACGTCCTAATACTTCAGCAGAACTCAGGTCCCTACAGCTCCACAAACGAACAGATACACGGAGCTACGCTATGGAAAAGACTGTACAAAAACTATTGCTGGCGAAACCTAACTTGCGCCATTCCTCCTCCGCTTAAATCTAGGCTTTTCATAGAACCGACATCTCTTGATGGCGGAGAAAACGCTCAATGCAGCACGTACTAGAGGTTTTCTTAATCAGTGTCAAGCATCCGAATATCGCCTGACACACTGACGCTCCTTATAAATCGAGGCGTAGTTGACGTACCCGTTAATTGTTCTAGGCTTTGGAGACAGAGTCCTAATGACGAATGCTAATTTTGCCAAACGCTTTTATCTCCATCGCCACTCACCGGCAGACGGCCGGACTAGCTACTCTACACCCCTGTTCTCTCCTGCCGCGGAACATCTGAATCCAGTCTCCGCATGGAGCCCGTGATGACCACCCACCGTTTGCTGGCAGACACAGCCTACCCTCCGCCTTGTCCGTTGCTGCTGCCTCCTCATTGCGAGCGCCTGAGTGATTAAAAGCGTCTCGCAACATTTGCCTTCTCGACGACAAACGTACCAGCAAGTGACGTGGGGAGGACCCATCCTCCACGGCCGCCCCTGCCGTCGTGGGGTCGCAAGGCCGCCGAAGGTGTCCCTCGACAGCCGCTTCGTGGTCCTGGCACTCAATCGGCTGCAACAATGTTACCCCTACCATCCCACATCGCTTGTCGATTCCAAGAGCGCATTCCCATCCCAAGCAATCGGGGGCATCCGGTGACCTGGCTTCGTTGCCCTGACGAAACGAACCCGGAGCTAACGCAGGGCAATTTACAGCATCCAACGATAACTCCGAGCCGAAGGACGTTGGAAGATCAAATACAAGTCGAGGAGAGACTTCTTGTTCGGGAGCCTTCAGCAAACTCGAGGTGCACGTCAACCTCTCCCTTCCCCAACATAACTCACCCGCCTCCTTGACGGCATCTCCCATAACAGTTTCCTTTTCGCTACCCAAAGTTGAAGACACCAACCCGTCCGCCGGGAATTGAGTCGCACGCGCCGGGAAACCAACGGGATGGGAGTTTCTCGCCACCAGGTTTGCRGASCTTCTCCCGCGGCGCACAGAATCGACTGCTTCGTGCCTGGCGTCGGSTAGGAACGGGTGCTCAAGGAGCTGGGAAGCAGACCACCTGCGGGACGGCTCTCGGACCAGGCACTTGGAGAGAAAGTCTTTGGCCTCTGATGACARATGCGGGGGGAAAGCAGGGACTTCGTTGGTGCACGCAATGCGAAACAGCGTTGACATSSTGTCCTCCACATCCGWCCACGGCGCTCTGCCGGTGGCCATCTCGATCACGGTGCATCCTAACGACCAAATGTCCGCAGMCCCTTCTAGCGTGTCGCTCTGGCTRGCTAYCTCGGGAGCCATCCACTGMACGGTTCCTGCGAGGCGTACGGGACGTCCTGGCCATGCTCCGCCATCCTCCTTCGATTCAGAGACAATCTGAGTGGACGGATCCTGCGATTGACTGTCGACGTCATCACCAGGCTCCCCGCAGACGCAACATGAAGCCCCGAAGTCAGACAGCTTGGCGGTTACCCCACCGTCCTCGTCGACCATCACCAAAACGTTCTGACCTTTCACGTCCCGATGCACCACTCCTCGGGAGTGCGCGTGCTGCAATCCGCGCAATATCCCTCGGCAACATCGCCCGATCATGGACTCGTCCAGCTGTCCGCCGAAGCGTTTCGAGAAGTCAGCCAGGCTGCCCCCGTTCGCCAGCTCTAGGAACAGGTTACGCTCCGTTGACCCGTCCTGGCCACGTGTCCAGTCATCCCCAAGGTAGCGCACCACGTGAGGAGACGGACCCAGCCGCTTTAGAATGGAGATCTCATTCTCCAGTGCACGAAGCTCGGCCATAGGCGCACATGCCGAGGGATCGCAAACAGCCTCCGGCGGAATGGCTACGGTCTTCACGGCAAACACCGTGCACAACCGCTTGTCAAGCGCGTGATGCACCCGCCCAAATGACCCTTGCCCGAGAACGCTGCCGCGAACCCAGCAGGATGAACCCCTCTCTTCGCTCCTGCCACAAACCGTGACGCCATCGCGGTCGGCGGGACAGGCATCGGCAGACCCCCTCACGGTTGCTTCACATCCATTCGCGGCCATGATGGTGGTGCACGCCTCAGCGCACGGTGTGTGTCTCTGTGTGTGTGAGAGAGAGAGAGAGAGAGAGAGAGAGAGAGAGAGAGAGAGAGAGAGAGAGAGAGAGAGAGAGAGAGAGAGAGAGATGGTCTGTCTACTGATGCAGTTGCTGCTGGCTGCACGACGTACTTACATTGATTTAATCAGATACGGTCGACGTGACACACCGGGAAGATGCCACAAATGCGATACTGCTGATCTTGAACTTCAGATGGGGGGGAAGTGAGACCTTCCTCTCGACCAGCTGATGACGACTGTTCTGCGACGTTGGTGATGTTCCGCGGAAACGACRGRRAGTGACRACATGATTGACGTTGGCTCTGTGAGATGGAGCTTGGAGGTTGKAGGTTKGAGAAGACGATGGCCTTCGCTTCACSTCCTTGCGGAAGGTCGTGAGCGTCGCTRTGAACGCKTCTGCGAGACAGCTKCCACTCGCAGTGCGGCGTGGTTACGCTACACCGAACAGATCTACAAGTGTCAACGTTATGCGGCAGAAAGATAGCACAATGGCATCGTTGAGCAAGCAAGAAGATAGCACAATGGCACCATGGAAAGGAGGGAGTTCGTGAGCAGGTTAATGAAGAGAGACGAGAGCTACCGTAAACGTACTCCAGCAACACAAGCTTGAAAGCAACACCGATCATATTAACACGAGGGAATGGACTAGCGCACACCGGACGGACTGTCGCTGCTAGTCGTGGGTGACCAACTTTTCTAATCGTGAAGCTTTGGGGCTTCWTCATCCCTGCGACACACGATAGTTGACTGACGCCAAGGAGAGGTATGCAGATGGGACTCGATGAAACGCTACGCAGCAGCTGACTCCTACGGACATCCGAGGTACAAGAGGCAGTGGGCGCCATCTCTCCCGAATCCTGGACACACCATCCACTGCTTCGCCATGCCCTCCTCCGAGACATCGCCATCTCCTCCGTGGTATCAAATCGTACCAGCGGGGATACGAAGGCGGGCGCGCAGCTAAACACAGTGTGCATGCGAGAGAACGACTTTMCCGTCTTTGATCCGTCGCGTCTAGCAATATCAGATTTTCCCATATATCGGCCAGTATCGCCCGTCTCCGATTTCGAAATCGAGTCGAGGCTCGTGGCGCTGTCTAGTCAGCGAACACTGCCCTCCTTCCWACTTTGCCTGSSGCGGTACAAATGCTGTTTATCACCTAGGCGCCCGTGAGGGTCACACCTCATGACCATCGAAAATGGCGGGGTAGAGGGGATGTGGCTCTCGCCTCTGAACTGAACGGCTGGACAGGTTCCACTGACTTCTTTCCTCGCTTCCCCTGGACMAAGCGCGCGGGACCTCCGTGGAGGCGTGCAGGACCTCCGCGCCCACGAACTCCGCGGASGTCCCGCRYGTTTGGTCCAGGGGAAAGCGAGGAAACMAATCAGCGGAACCTGTCCAGCAGTTCAGTTCAGAGGCGAGCGCCACATCGGCGGAACCTGGCCGACCGTTCAGCGGAGTTTGCGGGTGTCARAAAAAGTCCCACGCACRGATGAGATGTACCAATCAAAGAAAGGTCCCGGGAAAAAGACAGAAACMGCAGAACTCTCTTGTGATGGGAAATCATTCGGCTTTGGGGTCGCGGGGGGTTGTATCGCCTCCGCGAGGGAGAACTAAGAAGGGCGTCGCCACACCACTCTCGAAATGTGCAAAATGAGAATGAACTTCCCGCTAGAACACGGCCAGATGCATCCAGCAATTTTTTGTCTTTTTTTCATTTAGAGAGTGATGYGGCGAGGCCCTAAGGCGTGACCGGGACTCGTTTTCCCTTGGCTTTGGCTGAATTGGCCGCTCTTGCCGTGACTCATATCCATCAGGGGAGGSACTTGCCGCGGCGCTTGTCGGCATATGGCGGAGCCCTGCCCAACAAGAGTTGGTCCATTCGGCAGTCAATTCCCGTTGTTGAAAACAGATGCATCTTCCGGAAGAAAATGGCCACGGTCATCGGTTTGCTATAAATAGTAACGAGTGTTTGTTGCCACCTTTCGTGGGCAGATGCACTCGTTTTCGTTTCGTGTGCCGTGCGGCGAGACCCCTAGTCAGCTATACACTTATACTATTTTTCATTGGCCACGATTGCAGTCGACGAGTTGCGGTCAAAACACACGGCATGGAAACGTCAATGAAGGAAACACCAAAAGATTGAAGGCCATCTGTTTTCAATAGCTCTGCTGCTTCCGGCGGGAGCGACCCGCGGATCGGATACGATCCGAGCTGGTTTCATTTGTTGAGAGAGAGATGAGGCGAGTGCTAGGGCAGCCTAGGGACTGTGGCTTCTGGAGTTCTGCAGAGCCGCGGGGGGAATGGCCCTCGCTCAACTGTACAAGTGAATGACCGTCTCCATTGCACAGTTCGTGCTCAATTGACCTTTCGAGTGTATAGGGCTCATGAACTCGTTCAGATACTCACCAGGGCACATTTCACAACAAAAGGAGGCGTTCACTCCACTACTCAGCACACTTAGGTGAGTGTTACAACTTAAAACACTACAGTAGGCCGTGGCAGGCTGGCAGCAGCGGGAGAAGGGGCCTAACTCAGTTGGTGAGGCACACATATTGCATTCAGGAGTCGTTGGTCCAATGCCCTCAGGCATGTGCCTGGGCATGCTTGGTGCCCTACCATCTAGAGACTGATACCACGCTCGGGCGTGGGGGCGCAGCCAGGTTGGCGGCGGACCGGCGACCAGCCTACGCATTGCCCCTACTGGATAGTTTGTGAAATACCCCTATAAGTTGAGTTACACCCCTCTGACACAAAAACTACTTTGGGAAATGCACCTGCCGTCGGTTGTACCTGTCATCTTTGCAAAATATCCCTACCGGATACTGTCCATAGTTTGACTTTTCAACTGCACTCCTGGAGCAGGTCGGCTCAAGTCTCAAGGTGACTTTGTGTTGCCGCCGTCAGATTATCAGTCAGTCTGGGCAAGCTCATCAGAGCGCGCAAGTTGTCCTTCAGACACTCCATCTGGATCGGTGAGATTGTGCGGAGTGTTTGTCCTGTGTCTCATTAGCCTACAACATGCTCACCCACCCTTCCAGGGGGGTTTTTTTTTTTTTTTTTTCCCCCCTCCAATTTGGGCTATTTTTCGATTTATGCGTGTCATTCTTGCGCAGGGGCTGTGTTAATCTCCTTTCTCTGTATCGTTCCAACTATGGCGGATGTACTGTTTCATATTCGCGCCAGCTTGTCTGTGTGTGGCTGGGTGTGTGTTCGTCTGTAGTGTCTGTATGATGTCCAGCCCGGTGCGTCGTGGTGAATGCCTCGACGGCGCATGTATCGGTCAGGAATACCATTCGGGCCCATGCCGTTTTGGGGTGAGTGAGTGCCCGTGCCTCATGAGTTTGGAATCTCACACCGACCGTGGTGAGTGGTCGAGAAGACTCACCATGACAGATGTGCTGCAGGTGGGGTGAAACAAGTTTCAGGGCGAGTGTTCATCCCCCTTTTTTTTTAGGTGTTCTCGGAGGAGCGGGGTGAGTGCAGTGGTGTCACTCATCCGGAAACTCAGACGGGGTGAGTAATGCAGCAAGGCCAATACTCAGCAATCTCCGGCCCAGGGCGTACTCACACTAGCACTATCTCACTGCATTTATGACCGGACGTCCGGATTAGTTAGAGAGAGAGAGAGAGAGAGAGAGAGAGAGAGAGAGAGAGAGAGAGAGAGAGAGAGAGAGAGAGAGGATCTATGACCTTTATTATAATGCT